GATTTCGCCCAGGATCGAACTGGGGACGTTCTGCGTGTTAAGCAGATGCCATAACCAACTAGACCACGAAACCAACCTATTGGAGTCGAATATTCTTAACTATTTAACATTCTGTTATTTGCGGATATATGTAACATTAATCAACCCATATTGTTTACGGGACATATTATTGTGGATATTGAACAGTCTATATGCCATATACTATGGGTCTATTAACCATTGCTATGCTTTGTTTGAATATTGTAATAGTTTTACAATAACAAATTATCGGACTTTTAAATAAAGAAAGTTGCCGATGTCTTGTATACGGTGTGGGGCAACACCACAATGCTGCATGCATCCGTTACCAGTAAAATAAAAAAACACCGTTTAATATGCATCAATTGAAATATTACTAAAGAAATTCAAATCTGTCACTCGGTGCTCAAAATTAGACTGATGATGGGAATATCTTATTCGATGTCATCTTAGATTTCTATATAAATCGAAAGTTCTTCTCCACAAAATATCGAGTTCTATTTTATTGAAATTTGTTTCACTTGAATATATAGCATAAAATGTCAGACTCAGCTACAACTATAGAAGAAGCTCCCGTTTCAAGAGTTCGCTATGCCGGTGAACGTAATGAATATCTTATACTTGGTAACAAGAAATATGCTACAAATGAATTGATGACAGCTTTTGGGGGTACATTAAATCCTGGATTAAGTCCATACCCTGTCCATTCTTTCGCTAACCCAGCGCCTTTAGGACTTGCAGCCTTCGCGTTCACTACGTTTGTTTTATCGCTATTTAACTCACAGGCCATGGGCATTACCATCCCTAATGTGGTTGTGGGTTCTGCTTGTTTTTATGGTGGTGCAGTTCAATTCTTAGCTGGTATGTGGGAGCTTCTTTTAGGAAACACCTTTGGTGCAACAGCTTTGACTTCATATGGTGCATTCTGGTTATCGTATGCCTCCATATTTATCGAAAGCTTTGGAATTACCGCTGCTTATGAAGACGAAAAAATGCTTAGCAATGCTATTGGATTCTTCTTGATCGGATGGGCCATGTTCACATTCATGCTTTGTTTAGCCACTATGAAATCCACCTTGGCGTTTTTTTCGTTATTTTTCTTCTTAACGATTACATTTGTATTATTGGCATGTGGAGAATTCAGTGGCAAAATAGGTGTTTCAAGAGCTGGTGGTGTTTTCGGGATTATAACTGCCTTCATTGCATGGTACAATGCATTTGCCGGTGTTTCTAATAGACAGAACTCTTATTTTACATGTAATCCAATTCCACTTACTTGGAATAAGGATTAGATAACTCTCGGTGCATGAAAAAGCTTACTTATTTATTCATATTTTCATTTATTTATTATTGCCATCACGATGGTTTATCTATTTATTGTTGTCCTATTTATGTCCAAAAATATTTATTTGTATTATATCGATTGCAAACTATGTATTATGTAATTTAATAAAACCACGACTGTACTCGCTCACGTAGTTAGAATGATCTTCTTCGCTTTTCTATTCAAAGCAAATAGATACATACTATAAGGAGTTGGCTTATCTTAACAATGAAACTAACTTGTACGATAATAATATCATTCTTTTTGATATTAGTTCAAGGATCTGGAGTTTTACAAGTGAATGATGAAAATTTTAAAGATGTTGTAATCAATTCTGGAAAGTATACTTTGGTGAAATTTTATGCTGATTGGTGCCGCCATTGTAAAAACATGTTACCAGCATATGAAGAAGTAAGTGACTTGTTTGCAAATGAAGAAAATGTACAAATCGTTAAAATCAATGGTGATAAGGATGGTCGTAAAATGAGCAAAAAGTACAACATTGAAGGATTTCCAACGGTGATGTTATTTCACGAAAATGACGAGCCCATTGAATTTAACGGAGGTAGAGACGCGGAGTCAATGAGTAACTTTATCCAACAGATAGCAAATATACGGTTGGATAAGTCTGACGATCTGCAAAAATCTGATGGCAATAAAGAGGAATCACACGTATTGGAGTTTAACGATTTAGACTTTCAAGAAAAAGTGCTTGATAATGAAAAGGCAACTTCGCTTGTAGCATTCACAGCCCTGTGGTGTGGTCACTGTAAATCTTTGCAACCAATATGGGAAAAGTTGGCAAATGAAATTTACGTGAACGATGATAAAATAGTAATCGGTAAAGTTATCACTGACACTAGCCCAGCCGATAAATTGATGGCGCAATTTGGTATCACATCATTTCCAACTATTTTGTACTTTGATTCAAATAAAATAGATGAAGATGGATTAAGAAGACCTGCTATGTTTTACGGTGATAGATCTCTTGAACTGTTTGTTTCTTTCATTAATGAGAATGCTGGATTACATCGTGACACAAATGGTGAATTGCTAGAAACAGCCGGCAAAATAAAGAAGTTAGATGAATTAATCATCGATAAATTGCCAAAAGGTGCCAGAAGTGATGTTGGATTGGAACTATTAAGGGAATTAAATAAAATCATTGCATTGAGTACAAGTCTGGTAGTTAACAAGGGAGAGATTATATCCACTGCCGATGATTTATCAATGGGAAAATATTATAAGAAATTAATAAACAAAATGATTAATGGAGAAAGTGAATTTTTCGAAAGGGAAATTAATCGTCTAACAAAAATGCTACAAAACAATAAACAAAGCTTACAAAATCAAACGGTCGACTCGATCCAAAAAAGATTAAATGTATTAAATGTATTCGCCAACTATTAGAGAATGAGTGAATTTATAGACATATCACATATGGCTAGTATATCAGATATAAATTTCTAAACGGCATATTGCAAATCTAGTAATTAAAGCAAATAAATGTATATCGTATAAATAATTAATGTAGAATATCGATCAGTTGAAGCAAACTCACCATTCAATGGGGTCAAATTTCTGAAGTATTCTTACCTTGTCTGGCCATACCTTTCCGTCAGCTAAAATACATTCGTCTATAATTGGTCTAACATTCTGTGGTCTGCATCTAGCTAACCAGATATTCTTGCCTGTCTTAGAATACATCAACACGTTAGCAGTGTATTTGTGACCCCCTACGTGGTTGATATACGCCACCTTGACCCCATCTGGTCTATGATCACTGATATCCCTGTACAATCCAAGATCTCTTAAATAAATCTCCATTTCACGCTTCATCAATGGTGCAGTTACACCACATCTCTTATCTCTCGTCTTGTGAGAGCACAAGAAGATATATGACTGGAAACCATCAGCTTCTATTGTTACATCGTCAAAATTATCAAGCTTTGATGGCGGTGCCAATTTTTTATCCCTGCACTCTATAAGTTTTGGCATCATCTCATTAAGCAATGCGCCCACTTCCTTCGCTGAAACATTCTTGATCCAAATAAAGAACGGCAATATCAAAATATCCCCCCTTCTTTGCAGGATGTATTCTTCATTGGTATGTAATTCTTCCGACCCCAAAGATGACATAGTTACCTTGATTGTCGATGACGCTCCCAACTCTGGATATTTACTATTTGACAGTCCTGCCCAACCAGCAACTGCATTTCCTACTGTACCGTCTGTCAGACACGCATCATGCGGCCAGTCAGTCTTACCACTAGCAACAACAATGTGCAACCCGTATTCCTTCGTAGAATTCCATAACTGATCTTTCTCCTCCACCGAAACCGAAGAAGGAAATTTTGAGTGGCACGAATCACAATCGAAAGAACAATCTGAAGTTGAAAACCCTTTTTTTTCAATCTCTTCCTCTATATTAACGTTATTGCCACCACCAAAAAGTTTTCCTATCAATCCCATTTCAAAATTATATAAAATGCTCTAATTTATACGAAATAAACAAAACTATAATTCCTTTATCTTCTTGATCTATATATATAAGCTTAGCCCACAGCACTTTTTTTTTCGGTCCGGTCCGATCGAGTTCCACTCTACGATTCTTTTACTAATTCTGATAAATGAGATAAAAAACAGAAAAAATTTAGTCGTACTAATTATGGCACTACACGACCTGAAAATTGCAATCTATTGTTCTTTTGGGATGAATCCACAAAAAGAGTTCTTGGAATACACCTCTAACGTCCAATACATAAAAGGGCATACCATAGAGAGTAGAAGATACATATAGGGTATTGCATAAAAATTCATATATTATTTATTGGAGTTATAAATTGCTAAAATTATAGATAATATCTTCGATTGGAAAGATTATTGCTAACTGATTGCATGTCACCACAATAGAATACGTTTACAATCTAGGAAATAATAGAGAAAAATAAAGATAGAAATCAGATATCTATATGATTCAGTACGATTTAGCACATACTAGCAGCAACAACTTTAGAGATAAAAATTATGATTTATACCGAATCAGACAGACGCCTCGTAAATTGATGACGAACAGTACTATTTCATTAAGGAGTGAAGGTTCACCCAATTTGAATGCGGACGGGATGTCGCATATATCTAACGAAGACAGCAATATTGTCATTGCGATGACGAACTACAATATAGAGAATGACGAGGGTAGGGGCGAAAATGAGGATGACAGAAGTAACAGAAGGCAAAGCGTGACAAACAAGAGCCAAGATGGTGGACCCAACCAACTCGATTCATCGACTCCTAACTCTTTCAAAGCTTCCCATTCTGAAGTATCTGATTTGACCGATGGCACGTCTCCATCACCAAATGATGAGAATAGGGCTACGAAAACAGCCAAGGCTACTACTACAGAGCTTCAGAATAATAAAGTACCGGTCGAATTGATTGATGATCGTAAAGAGTCGATTATTATCGAGAAATTGCAGCCAGTTGATGTCGATCCTTTGGAAGTGGTAGACCCAAAGATTTCGGCAAACAAGGGAGCGAAAAAAAGTACGACCAATATAGCCACAGAGAAATTATTACACAACACGTTTGTAGTTTCACCCGAATCATATAATAACGGCAGAAGACATACAACGCCCCATAATTCCACGGTTTTGAACGATTCAGCTGATTTAACCTTTCGCCATTCTTTAGATAAATCAACATCTCGTCCTATAGCTAGAAGCACTTTCCCATCTTATAACAAAAGACAATCTCGGAGTACAGATACGGTTGGACATACATATGCGCATGATTCGACTAGTTCAGAGATTAATAGAATGAAAAACTCTCTTCTCGTACAAAGAAATATGAAGAAGAAAAGAAATATACTAGAAGATGAAAGAGTACTTGTTGGGAATAAAATCAGTGAAGGGCATGAGAATTTTGTGATGGCATATAATATGTTGACCGGCATCAGAGTTGCAGTTTCTCGTTGCTCAGGTATAATGAAAAATGTGGATGATCAAGACTTCAGAACAACAAAGAAGTTGTCATTCAATATGGATGGAAGTGAATTGACCCCCTCTTCAAAATATGATTTTAAATTCAAAGACTACTGTCCCGAAGTATTTAGGAGTTTAAGGTCTATGTTTGGAATAGATCCGGCTGATTACCTTATCTCAGTCACCGGAAAGTACATTTTATCTGAGTTAGGTTCACCCGGTAAGAGTGGATCTTTTTTTTATTATTCGAGAGATTATAGATTTATTATTAAAACAATTCATCATGGGGAACACAAACAATTAAGAAGAATATTGAAGGATTATTATAAACATGTAAAGGAGAATCCAAATACATTGATATCTCAATTTTATGGGTTGCATAGGGTCAAAATGCCGTTTAATAAAAGTGGTATAAAAAAGGTACACTTCATAGTGATGAATAACTTGTTTCCTTCTCAGAGAGATATTCATATAAAGTATGATTTAAAGGGATCAACATGGGGTAGAAAATACGAAGTACCTGTGAATCTGAAGGATTTGTCAAACTTTACTTTAAAAGATCTTAACTGGCTTGAGCGAAAAGATAAAATAAAATTTGGCCCCGAAAAGAGAAAATTATTTTTCGAGCAGCTAGAAAAAGACGTAAAGTTATTACAAAAGATCAATGTGATGGATTATTCGCTCTTATTAGGAATTCATGACGTTAAGAAGGGAAACAATACCGAAACCATCCAAAGATTATCCATTTTCGACCCAAAGTCGACAGATAAATATGATTTGATTAATACGAATCCTAGAGATATTGATATTGCAAATGACCTTCCGAACAATACATACCCAGGTAGATTGAAGTATATATTTTATGGTCATGATGGTGGTATTAGGGCTACAAATGAATTGAACGAGCCTTTAGGTGAGATATATTATTTAGGTATTATTGATTGCTTAACTAATTATTCTATCAAAAAGAGATTAGAAACTTTGTGGAGATCAATAGGCCATACACGCAGCACTATATCGGCTGTACCAGCTAATGAGTATGGTGATAGATTTTTGAAATTTATTAAGGATGGCACAACGAACATTAAAACAAAAATAAAATAGTCTTACATCTTATGAAGTTGAGACTGTAACCCCTATATTTAACTTATGCATATTCATACTGATTTATAAAAGTAAACATTTGCTATTTTGTGAATTCATTTTAATACATTCATTAGTATTATTCTTTCTTGTAGTCCATATCTGAGCTTTTTTGATCATCACTATGGGTCATAGTGAATCATAAAGCTGTCCTTGCCAACTAGAAATTCAGACATAAGTACCTATGTCAGAAACATGCTTTCACATAATCAACCGCATGCCCGCAGGTCCACATGTATTAACTCTGTCAATGAAATGCTACAAATCCGTGTATTCGATCAAATATACCTACCTATTAGATAAGCGTATTGTCTGCTGTTCTGTCAAGAGTATAAATTCCGCCAAACGATAGGAATAGGTATTTATTAACCATCAGTTTTTAATCTTCGTATAAAGGTTCGCTACAAGATTTAGTCCTTAAATCTGACCTATCCTAATTAACAGGATAATAATCTGACATACATTTAAGTGTTACGAAGTATGAGCAATATGTAAATTGCCTAAAAGCCGTGTACAAAGCAACGAGATGTCAATTGAATCTTGAAACGAACTTTTGCTACCCACTGCGAGAGTATTGAAAAAAAAAGACAAATGCTCCAGGAGGGGTTTGAACCCACGACCGTCGCGTTCCTCACACGACCGTGACTTATGGTATAACCAAATCGTCGTAATACGGCTATAAGCACGAAGCGCTAACCTCTGCGCCACTAGAGCACCTGCTGACAAAAACCGGAAACATAAGAGATCATATTGAAGCTAAACATTAGAAGTCCCACCATACATTTTAATTAGCTATATATGTTTATTAGAGGTTCTTTTTTTTTTATCCTTAACCTATATAAAAGCACTAAATATATTAATGCTTAGTATTTATGTATAATTAATCAATCGTTGCTTGGATGATGAATTTCGGGCTTTCGCCATAATTGAGCGTTACAAATTTTGAGATCTTAGAAAACCAATTTGAAACTAACTAACTTGCAATAGTATCAATAAATATGAAAGCAAATAGAGCGATGGCTTCAAAACAGCTACAATTTATCAGATCATTGATCATCTCACAACCTCCTACAGTAGCATTGCCGAATCAGTCTAGCAATACTTCTAAGATTGAAAATATTCAGGGTAACGATTTACCAAACAAGAGAACTTTGAATGACCCAGAGTTTCAGAGTTTGGGACAGCCTGCATCTGTATTGGCTATCAATTCACCTCCTTCCGTACCTATTTACATCAGGAAAAACTCTTTGTTGTCAATTTATGGAATTAATAATTCGTTTATGAATTCAATTAAGGGCCTGGTAGAATTTATAAACCCGATTAAAAAGTTTATATATGGGGGTTACGTTTCAAAATATCAAAAAATTATCTCCACAGTGCCGTTCTCTTTATTAGTTTCCTCGAGCTCGAAGAATTTATGGAGAACTAATAAGCAAAAGTCGTTTGCTACTTTGTTATTGGATGGAACGAATGATTGGGCAGTTTTAAATAATACTGCATTACAAGCTTACACAGGCGGTACATTAAACGTTTCAATGTTCAGAATCCCAAGGAATATCAGTAAAAGCTTAGCGAATTCATTGAAGATAACAAATGCAACTGAAACTGGTTTATTCAGGTGGAATAATTTAGGTTATGCCTTGCTAACTGGAAGAGGTCAAGTGGGATTAGTTGGTAACGGTGCGATCTATAATATTAATTTAAAGGAAAATGAAGAAGTTTTAATCAATAGAAAAAATTTGCTAAGTATCAGTGTTAATGGACCGTATGATTTGCAGAATTGTATTATTAAGTACTCTTTTCCGATATCAAAACCGGTTATAGATACAGCTATATCTCAAAAAGAAGTTCCACTTCAATTGAACAAAGACGAAATCACTCCATCCAGCAAGTTCAACTATTATTGGGATATCTTCAAAGGATACTCTAGTCATTTGATTAATCTTTTCAGAAGATCTAAAAACTCCACTTACAATTTCTTAGTAGGAAATGAAGACTTTGTAAGGGTTATTGGTCCAAGAAACATATTGTTACAATCTAATAGCGCAAGTTTGCATTCTAGATCGTCTTACGAGTTTTCCACGCCTAGTATACTGAATATCAAGGCTAATATAGAACAAAAATCCTCAGATTTTTTAAATTATGTTACTATTGAACCAGGTAAAGGCGCGGTTTTCAAGAGCACACCAAACTTTAAGGAATCCGTCCAAAAGATTGAGAAGAAGTCTCTGTAAATAAGAACGATCAATTAAGTAACATAAGTCTAAGATGAAATAGATATATACACAGCTTTCTTGATTAGATGTAGATTAAATCGAATAATAAAAATCATTAACCACATTATTTAATTATTTTTGCTTTGGATGCCAAAATAAATCATTAATTGCCTTTAAATGCACGGTGGAGCCTTCTATTCTAGGGTCAACCTGTTGCGTAAAAGTATTGGGTTGCTTTCTATATTCCTCTATATTTGATTGAATTTCACGGGGTCCCGGTAATGGACCACTAAACTGATATTGGCTGCCATTCAGTGATGCTATAGGAGGCAATTCAATTTTCATCGCTCCTAATGCGTTCAAATTATTGATACCGGGTTCTATAGGAGGGAGTTTTACCTTTTCTATTTTAATATCTGCAGTGTCTTCGTCGTGAATTCTAACATTATTAGTACTCAACTTCTTAGGTTCATCATTATTGTATAATTGAGATTTTGATGGATATTGAAAATAATGAGTATGAGGATTTTTAGAATATAGCTCTTGTTGTGCTCGACTATTATTTAAAGGCTTGCTCATATTGTCAATCATTTGATCCGAGGAAGTCTTCTTTCTTACATTAGCTCCAATACTGTTCAGATATGGTAAATCAAGTGACAATTGTGTACTCCTCGAACTAGCATTAGTGAAAACATTTGATGAATGCGCACTTGAGGATTCATTCGTTAGACTAGTATTATTATTATTATTATTATTATTATTATTATTATTATTATTATTATTATTACTGAAATTGGAGTTTGATGAATCAGAAATTGGTGATATCGAAGGTGGTGCCGAACTATAACTGTTTAATCTAGAATTAAGTTCTGATCCAGAAAATGAATGTGAACCTAAATTATCCGGTAATTTATCTTCTGTCATACAAGTATGCATTTTGATTAATGGCTCTGATTCTGTCAGGTATTCATTCTCGCTTTTTTTGCTATCGTTATCCTTGGCATTTATGTTGCAATTATCAGCATTCTTATTTTTGTCGGAATCGAAACTCTTTTCCTTATCGAAATTGGAATCACCGCGGGGCTTACCAGCTTCATGCATAATTGGGATAGGGTCCGTTGGGGTTATTGCATGATGAAATAGTTTATGTCTTCCATTTATATTCAACTGATTCAGGTTTCTTGATTGCGTGACTTTCCTCTTCAATATTTTCAATCTTTCGTTTGGTAAAAATGACGACATTTCATTATTCTTACTACTTGAAGTCAATACATCAGCACTATGGGATTTAGATATACCACTATCATTCGCACCTAGTATATCAGCGCCACCATGAGCAGGAAGAGACTTGCTGTGAACAATACTATTATCCCCCAGAACAACGTGTTTTGGCGTATTTGTCGAATATTTTGATATTACTTTATTAAAAGCATTGAACAAATCGCTCCATTTGAATACCTTGAGGTCCTTCTCGATGTTTCGGGGTCTTGGATCCTCCATGTTCATTAATACATTGAAAAAGCGCTGGCATGACCTATTAGAACGAGATATAGTGTAGGGCTTTAAAGACTGCAAATTCCTCCGTATTCTATTTTTCTCCTCTATGGTAAAGCTTTGCTCTACCAAGTACTCTAATATCAAAATAATATCAACTGATGTTGCAATATGTATGTTCTTCTCTCTCCAGAATATGCATGAAATTATTGGTTGCTCGTGGGTAAAATCTTGCTTTCTGACAGCTTCAAAAGTAACCCAATAATCCGTTGGTGTTTCCCTTCTGAACTTGAAACGCACCAACCTCCTCTCGTCATTAATCTCTACTTGGCTCCAATCCTTTGTCATGGTCATTAAATCATCCTCAAGTAATAGCTTTACAGGACTAACTGCCAGACTCGTGTTATGCCTCACATAATTGGGATGCAATGATGAAATCCTAACCAACCTCGGTATTCTTTCGTCTTCTCCAAAACTGTTCTTGCTGTCGTTCTGATCTGAAGGTGAAATAGAATTCTTCTCTGTATTCTCAGCCATAATTGTGCTGTTTTGGCTACGTTGATATTCTTGCTGAAAATCCTCGCGTCTTCACCTTCAACGAAATTATACTTGATCTTCTTTTCCTTTTGATTTCCAACAATATTCAATGACTAATACAGCTTATCATTTATTAGTAATTTCTCTATATTCTTTATGTTTATGTCAACGGCTATTTTTTACAGAATGCACCTCTGAAGATCAATTATATTATATATATATATATCTACACTTGTGTCAAGTATACTTCTAACGAATACGAAGACTTGACCAAAATGGGACACCCGAAATAGAATTTTCTTTGGTTTTGTACAGACCATATACATGTTAGCCACTTTAGCCACAGCAAACCAATTAAAAAACTTCGCTTGCTGATACGTACGATTATGTAATACCCCAATTGGTGTTTGTGACGGCCTCGATGCGTCTTCTGTGGTATTAGGGCGGGCTAAAATGCTTGTGTAAATATCTCTGATCATGTGGAATGGAAACAGAGGAAATGTTCTACGCGCAATTCAAAAGTTCCACTAAGAAATTATGCATTTGCTTATATAATAGTCGATTAAAATGCATCGTTCCATACGTAAATACTTAGTAAGTTAATATATCTATCATGATGTTGATAATACTGACTAAAACTTCAACAGCAACTAAGACTACGACAATAAATTCTAAATTTTCTTCATGCGAATGGCCCAACTGTTCTTTCAACATTTGCAATAAGTCGGAAATGACTTCGAGCCGTTGGTTCAAAAGTTCGACTCTCTGGTTAATTTCAAGATAGCCTCTAGTGGCCTGGTAAATTGGTTCTAAGTGAGGCTCGGCCCACATTAACTCCGGGGAATCCAAGACGGATCCATGCAAGTTGATGTTAATACGAAGAATGAAGAGCTCACCGATAGATTTCATTATTTCGTCCTTTGTCATTTCGACCTTACCGGTTTGGGCGATCTGCTGGGGAATATCTTCCGTGTCTTCGATTGTGTTGTCGACTAATTCTTCGAACAAGGATATTTTGACTGATTGTGCCAACGCATGCGAGATTGAGAGCTTTAACATGTAGTTTGAGTCGTCCCTGATGGTTATAAAGTCGTTGTAGATACGGGGCTGGTATGACTTTGTGATGTAGTAGTTGAATTCTTCGACCTGAATATCCTCAGCTGATAATTTCTCGCTTTCGAACTTGGCCAAATCCTCCAAGAATGCTGCTTCTTCTTTCGGGGTGTATCCCCACATGATGATGACTCCGTATTCAAAGATAAATATATCGTTTCTCTTACCTATGTCAATTTCACCCCCTTCGTCTGCCAACCGTATGAAATGATGTTGGTCGTCTTGACTGACATGCTCACTTCGCCAATCCTTATATGTAAATGGTGTATACAAACATTCGTCAAACAATTTAGGGTTCGTGTTGTGTATACGTTTTCGGTCCTTCAACCACCTCAATAAGTCTTTCATTTTATATGAACCGCAAGTACAATAGGCTGTAACACGCGGCAATAGGTCTCGCTGCAGTTTCCCCAATGTTTCAGCATCCTTACGGGCTGGTGTATCCTTTATCCTCGTAACCTGCGAGTAAACTTCCTCATCATTTTCATCAACTAGATTAGGTGGATCCTCAGGTAATAATTTCAATTTCTGTGTCGTTCTACTTGTTCTCTGAAGTCCAATTTTTGGCGATTGATTTATCTTGGAGATGGATCTATTTGCTTGCAGATTCTTGCTCACCACGGACAGGGCAGAATCATTTCGTTGTCGCTCCTGTTCCGGGAGATTTATAGGATTCTCTGGAATACGATTAGTCAACAATGGTATTGTATCGTCTTGATCACTAGACATTGTGCTTCTATAACGGTCTCAGTTTATTTCAGACATCCATAATGAAAGGGCCTATATCCTTCAGATATATTTTTTTGTGTTACGGAGTGGTTATGTAACCCGCGACCAGCGAGAGTGCAACTTTTTTTTTAGATGAGCTAAATAATCTAGACGATGAGAAGATAATACTCTAAGTAAGCAGATATCTCAAGACTCTTAATGGTGAAGGCATCTAACGGAAAGACTACCCAGTCATCTAGAAGGCATGCATTTTCTTCTTTCCGGGAAAGAATTGACTCTATTAAAATAGAGCCAAATTTGAGCTTGAATAAGAGAGCTCATGATTATGTTGATTCATCCCATTTCCTAGCCACCTTAGAACACTGGAAAGAAGTAAATATAAGTGGTAACTTCACAGAATTCTTGGACAAAATTGAAAATATTTGCCAGACATTGCCCCAAATTTTACATCATCAAGTTACTATATTTGATGCATTATACACCCATATTGAAATAAACGATATTAATTCGATTCAGCCTTTATTGGAATGCTTATCACAATTCATTCACGATTTAGGCCCCGATTTCATGCCATATTATGATAGAACCTTGATATTATTGACAAATCTTGCATTATCAACCAACCCTAATGATTCTCAAAATAACAGAAATTCATCTAATGTCTTAGAATGGTGCTTCAGTAGTTTAGCATTTGCATTTAAGTATCTTTCTAAGACTTTAGTAGAGGATTTGTTACCAACGTTTAAAATATTGATTCCTTTATTGCAACTCAACAAGAAAACCTACATCTCAAGATTCTGCGCTGAAGCTTTATCATTTTTGATCAGAAAGCTGAAGGTTGATAGTTTAACCTCAGTAATTGAATACTCATTCAATCAACAAAGTGAAATTATTCATGAAAATGACTCTTATTGCGAGTCGTTAGTTGTTTTATTTTCGGAGTCTATGAAGAACACCAAAGGTTCCTTTCATTCTAAATCCACTAATATATTATCTAAATTGATTGAAAATTCATTGTCGACTAAATCATCTGAAGCAAAATTTATTTCAATTGTTTGTGATATTTTATTAGATGTTGTTAATCATGGTACAATAGAAAATTGTGATAAATTTTACAAACTAATCACGATTTACTTATCTCAAATTTTGAATGAATCCACTATTAATGATACACTAGCAATATCAATTGCACAAATTCTAACTACATTGTCTTTTGCTGAATCGGGTAAAAAAATATCTTCCTGGTCTCCAATTTTATCGACTACTAATTTGTTGATAAAGAGAGTCTCCTCCGGAACTTTGATAACCAACCAATTCTCAAACGCATTCTTCGATTCCTTGACATACCTACTTGTTATTATTATCCGTAATTGTGAAATACAGGAATTAACTAAGTATTACAGAACTTTTTTCGAAACTATGATAGAATTGAACAAGGGTCAGCACTTTTTGAGTTTTGCAGAAACAAACTTGGAAATATCTACAACTAAAGTTGTTAACTTTGGTATTGCTAAATATATTCAAGACTTTATTAATTCAATTGCATATAACGACTCCGAAATTCAAAAGTTAGGATTTTTCTTAACAAGGCTTTCTAAAAAGGAGTTTTATGGAATTGAGTTAAGTATTCCCCAGCATATGCAAGTTCATATTATTAACCAATTACGGGATAGTTATCAAAAGATATCTAACCCAGAAGAGTTACCAGAAATATATTGGAAACTTTTAACTTTAAAATATTGTGGAAGATCAAGTGCATCTGAGAGTCAAACTTTAATTATTTTATTGAGACAGCTATGTGATGAACACTTTAAATTTGATTCAAAGTTTTCTCATGATTTAGTGGGAGGCGTTGTTGATGCGTTATCTCTGTTATTAAGAGAAAATGAAGATAGTGAGATTGCTTTAATCGTATTTAAGCTAATCATTTCTAATTTCCAAAAGTTTAGTGAATCGTCTGTTTTTATTTCATCGGTTAAAAATTTTATCAGCTGCTGCTCCTCAATTATATTTCCTTTAATCAAGGACAACTATGATTTTTTGGTCTCCCAATTGGCAGTTAACATGTCTTTTCCGAGTCATGATTCTCGTTATAATGCAATTCTCTTGCTCATTGAAATCCATGAGGTTTTGAAATTAGAAGTTTCTCCAATAATTTCCCAAATTAGATTAATTGAAGAAATTCCATTAACGTTGAATACTGGAAGAGATATCGAATTAAGAGTTCGTAATTTAGCACTTGAATTCAAACTGTTGGATAATCCTAATGATTTAGAATGTAACATTATTTTGAGATTTATGTTTGGTTTATTAACAAACAAGTTTCAACCATGTTGGACTTCTGTTTTTGAAGCTTTGCCCTACTTGGTTGAGAAGTGTTCTTCATCTATATGGTTATTAGCTTATCAATTGATTAAAATGAATTATGGGGAACAAAATACCAACTATTACGACTTTGAATCTTCTGCGTTCGAAGAAGAAAATGTTCTATTGAATTGGCAAGTAAGAAACCCAAGATTAAGAGGAAACTTTTTATTTGTGGACGGAAACTTCCTTAGTAAATATCTCAATATCAGTAGTCTGATTTTGGATTATGCTGAAAGTTCAAGAGCGGACAATACATATAGCTCCATATTAAGGTCGCATGCTATTCATGCATTAAGCTCAGTCCCATCAATTGCTGAAAAGCATTCTGATAAGCTAGTACCAATAGTCTTGCATGAAACCGATGATGAAGATAATGATGATTCTAACGAAGATCGTACTGAGAGTGACCATATCAACCAAAGCTCATGGACCTTAAAAGATCGAAATGACTTGGTTTGCTTGTTTACTAAATTTAATAGTTTGAAAAAGGTTTATAAAGCAGATTTATTGTATGAGCATATGCTCAAACTATTATGTAACAAACAAACCCAGGTGCAAAAGATGGCGTTAGATGTTATCCTTCGTTGGAGGATCGGATCTGTAAATAAGTATAAGGATAACTTAAAAAACTTGTTAGATGATACCATATTTCGTGACGAACTTTCCAAATTCATTTCAAATAGTTCTGATTCGACTATAGAGCAAAGCGATAAGGATTCATTAATGCCATTGGTGTTGCGTATTTTATTTGGTCGGGCACAAAGCGTTCCTAAAAGTAATAGTAAAGCTGGTAGAAAATTTGCTATTGTTGGAATCTTACCAAATCTATCTCATGAGTATATTATTGAGTTTTTAAGTTTAGGATCTGATAGACTTAATTATCAAGAATATTTTATTACCAATCAATTACCACTTATTGACATAAAAGTTTTAAGAAAGATAAGTGGTTTTGTGAACTTATTAAATGATGTATACAATACTTTGGGATACAGATATAATGATGTTTTAAGTTCAACTATTAAGCCATTAGTATTCTCTTTGACTGTTGCTCAAAAAGTAATAGATGAAGAAGATAGTGCTGGTTATGATTCAGTAGTAAAAAAGTCCGCAAGAAACATAAGGCAACTCGGTATGAAATGTCTCAGTGATTTGTTTAAAATTTTAGGAGAATCATTTCAGTGGGACGATTATATCAGCCTTATATATGAAGAAATCATAAAACCAAGATTAAGCAAATTTACTGAAGAAAACTTGCAGCAAACATCATCTTTGATGAGACTCATGACAAGTTGGATAGAATTGCCAAATCTAATCAAATTCTTGTACATCGATGATTTTGCCCCTGTGAAAGCTATCATATCATTAGTCACCAATACCCATGTGAAAGAATCTGTTATTTCGATTGTCTTAGACTTTTCTATATCTGCCTTAAGTAAAAGAAGCATAGACGATGATACTTATTTCACTCTTTTGGCTTTGTTAGTTGATACACTTTTAAAGTTTTTACCAAATATTTTAGACATTACAACCAGCCGAGAAATCAACTCAAAGGCAATTAATATTTTATTATTATTGATAGAAGGAGACTTTATAAGTGAAAATTCTACCCGTGCCTCATTGATTGAATCCTTAACCAAAGCGTTAGATAAACCTCCTAATCAAGTTGAATCAAAAGATAAAGTTTTTATCTTATTGTCATTATCGTCCTTGATTGATTCTTATGACTGTTCTTTCGACGATATCAGGCCGTTGTTTCAAGCTTGTTCAAAATCTTTCAGGGTATATTCAGATCGTAATGTTAGAGAAACTTTAGTCAAAGTGTTCATAAGTATTGGAAATAGATTTGTTGAGTTACAACAAGTCTCAAAACTTCTAGAAGGTATAAATGCTTATTCTGACAAACGTATGGAAGAACCTGATTTTGAAAAGAGATTAGCAAGTTTCAAAGAAATAAATGAAAACTTATATTCAAATTTGACTACAGTACAATGGTTACCTATAATATACTGTGCTTTATATTTCATAAATGATGAATTAGAATTAGCAATTAGAACTAATGCTACTTATACATTAAACAGATTTATTGACTGCTTTTCTGGAATGGAAGATTCTGGCTTAGCTCAAAGTCATATACATATGTTCAAAGATGTAATTTTGCCGCATTTACGTATTGGACTTAGAAAATCAACTGAAGTCGTTCAAACCGAATATATTTCTGTGCTTTCTCACACTATTGAATGTGCAAAGTATTTTACTGAATTGGATGATATGAAAGTTTTATTATTCAACAATGATGAAGAAGCAAACTTCTTTAATAATGTGAATCACATTCAATTGCATCGTCGTCAAAGAGCTATCAAAAGAGTCGCTGAATACAGAAATAAATTATCGGAAAATAGTATCTCACATTATATTTTGCCAATAATCGAGCACTATTCGTTTTGCCTGGATGAAAAACTTCGTAATATTACCAATGAAACTGTTGATACGATTGGTGCATTAGCTAGGTGCATAAGCTGGAATCAATATAAGGCTTTGCTTAGAAGATACATTTCTGGAATGAAAAATAGCAAGGAAGAGTCATTGAAGGACAATGTGAATTTGGTTGTTGCGGTATCTAAATCTTTATTAGCTTCTATTGAATCGCGTAGAAATAACTCTTCTGAAGACATTATGAGAGACCTACCGAAAAGCCAGGACGAAATCAACAAATATGTCACTCAGGAGTTATTTCCAACCTTAATGAAAACTTTGGCACTTCGTAACGATGACACTATTGTTTCTCGTATCCCATTATCTGAGGCAATGGTAAGTTTAGTAATGTGTGTCTCTGAAGAATTAATAGAATCAGAGCTACCTGGTATATTAACTAGTACATGTCAGGTTATGCGTTCTAGGTCTGAAGAACTAAGAGATACGGTTAGAAAGGCGTTAAGCAAAATTTCTATTATCTTAGGAGCTAAATACTTCAAATTTATCTTGAGTGAATTGAAAGGTGCATTATCTCGTGGTTCTCAAATACATGTATTGAGTTTTACTGTTCATTCTTTATTGGTCACTATTTCTGAAGTCTTAGAACATGGTGATTTGGATGAATCTGTACAATTGATTATAGATATAATTATGGAAGATATTTTCGGTGCCGCTGGACAAGAGAAAGACGCAGAGGGATACACTAGTAAGATGAAGGAAGTCAAGTTCAAGAAAAGTTTCGACTCGGGTGAACTATTATGTACCAACATCTCATTGAAGAGTTTCAGCTATCTCGTTGAGCCCGTTAAACTTCTTCTACAAGAGAACGTTTCTTTAAAGACGCAAAATAAGTTAGATGAACTATTGAGAAGGTATGCGTTAGGTTTAAATCGTAACAATGAGTCTTCTTCACGGGACGTACTCGTTTTAAGTTATGAACTTCATAAGCAATCTGAAAGACTCTTGAATGAAAGAAGGGGACATGTTAAGACTGTTAAACCATCCGAAGACAACTTTTTGGTAAAGTTGAATGCTAAACCATTGAAAACACAAACGGAGCATTCACAGTATATTTTCACGTTGCAGAAGTTTGCCTTTGAATTATTAAGAACTTCAATTTCTCGACACGAAACATTACTCACTACTGAGAACCTCGAAGGCTTTGTCCCTCTCTTAGAAAGTGGTTTACAGTCTGATAATGAAGGAGTAGTAATTGCTTGTCTTCGTACCTTAACGCTAATTATTAGATTGCCATTTTCGGAACGAATAGATGGTCTATTTAAAGCTTGTGCGAGAAAATCTTTAAACATGATCAAGGATTGTCCGTCTACCAACTCCGAGCTATGTCAAGCTTGTTTAAAATTTCTTTCTGCAATTATAAGACATAAGCCTGAAATAAGTTTAAAAGACACAGCAGTCAGCTATGTACTTGTACGCCTTCAACCTGACTTGGAAGAGCCAAATAGACAAGGTTTGGCCTTTAACTTTTTGAAATCTGTTGTTTCACAACATATAATGCTTCCTGAAGTTTATGATACTATGGATAAGGTATCTAAAATAATGGTTGTCAATCATGCGAAGGAAATTCGGGATATGTCAAGAAGTGTTTATTTTCAATTTTTGATGGAATATGATCAGGGAAGAGGCCGGTTAGAAAAGCAGTTCAAATTCTTAGTGAATAATTTGGGTTATGCGACACAAGCTGGAAGGCAATCAGTAATGGAACTAATACATTTAATCATTTTAAAAGCAGGATCAGAATTATTGAATAAATTATCTACTTCTTTCTTTATTGCATTGTCTAATCTTATGATAAGTGATGATTCGGCAAAATGCCGTGAAATGGCTACTACGTTAATATCTAATATATTTAAAAAGCTAGGCTCAAAGCATTTATCGAATATCGAGAAATACTGCATTGCTTGGTTGAACCAGTCATCAAACGAATTATTAAAAAGATGTGGTTTAAGTATTTATAAAATTTACATTGCGGAATTTGGTGTTGGACAAAATAAGGCATTAGACCAATTAGCTTTACAGAATATTCTTGAAATTTTATCAGCTTCGAAGAATTGTGAAGATCATGATACTAACATTGAATGGGAGTTGGTTTACTCTTCATTGAGTGTTTTTTCTACTATTTGTAGTAGATTGAAGACAGAAGTTTTTAAATCACAATATGAAGAAGTTTGGAAATCTATTTTGAATTCTCTCTTGTTCCCTCATTCTTGGGTTCGTCTAATCTCAAGTCGATTAGTTGGTATTCTTTTATCAAATCTAGATTCTTCAGAATTTGCATTTACTGATTATGATATTCAAACCATAGCATATAGACTATTACACCAACTCGGAGCACCATCTATTTCTCAAGAATTGGGTACTCAAATTACAAAAAATTTAGTTTTAATAACAATGAGATGGGAATCTAATAAAGTCTTATACCAATACAAATCGTCTTCCGATACGGATGTTGGAGAATCTACAAAATACAAGTATGCTACTGAGTATCTTGTTTCTAGAGTCTGTTCAATAATAAGGCAAGAAAATAATTATAAAGATTCATTTGTTTCAAAAAAGTCGTCTGTCCAATTCGCTGCTATGTTAGTTCAAGTTCTTTCCCTTGAAAAGTTACCTGTTGCTTCCGAGCAAATTTTGCTAGCCTTATACAATTTAACAGAGTTAAATCCTAATAACAGCGAAGAAGAAAGCGAATTAGTAAATCTTTCAATGGAATGTATGCAAATGATTGAAAAGAAACTTGGAACTTCTGAATACACTAATATATATACCAAAGTCAAACAAGCTGTCAACTTGAGAAGAAGAGAAAGAAAAACCAAGAGAGCACAAATGGCAGTTACAGCGCCAGATATTGCAGCAAGGCGGAAAATGAAAAAGCATGAAAGATCAAGAGACAAAAGAAAACACGAAAAGGACGATAATGGATATTACCGTAGTAAAAAGAGCAGATTTTCTTAGTCACAACTTCGTCAATTGTAAATAATATGGATGGTGTATATTAATTAAATTATTTCATATCAACTTAAAAATATAACTAATCTTCTTTATTCACTAATGACTCGTTAGCATTTACGACCTGATCTATATGCATACTGTCAGCAGATGTAGGTTGAGCGGAGCCTTCTTCATTTTCTTCTAAGAGAATATTATTCTGTTCATCAGTCGCCAGTAAATTATTGCTAGAATAAGTTTCAATCTTACTATCATCGTGTTCTTCTTCTTTAGCTGAATTTGCATGCTCATCGATGGAAGCCTCGTTATCAAGCTTTTGTCTTTTATATGATTTTTTAGTTTCTTTTTGTTCTTCTTCAAACTGTTTTTTCTGATTATAAACAGACATTTCTCTCTGATATCTATCTCTATCATCTTCATAGAGTTTATAATACGGTTTGCGCTTCTCGTCATCTAAGTTTTTCCAGGCTTCTGTTAGAGATTTAGATAACTCGGTAACTGCTCCTGGATTTCTTTCTTCTAGTTCATGCTTTATTCTTTCCTTTTCCATTTCGCAAAATATTAAGTATGCATTTGTAGGCCTCTTGGGTAAATCGGGATCTCTAATACGTTGAGTACGGCTATTATTGTTTCCACTGTTTCCGGTCGTACTGGATACACCCTTTGTTTTTTTACCACCTCTTTTTGACAACCCATTACGTGTTAACTTTGCATTTGATGTATTTAATGATTCATCTAAAATTGTAGGAGAAGGAGGAGGGGACATATCCTCTTGTTCATAATTTCCATCTGGTATCATTATTGCACGATGCTCAAGCCTTTCCAATAAAACTGCATATTCAAGACGCAATCTACGTATGGCCATTTTAGTTCTAGAAAGGGCAAGAGTAGCAACCTCGTTACTCTCTTCTACTTCTGTTATTCTTTTCTTTAATTCTTTACATTTTTGTTTAAACTTTTGTTCTTGTCATGGTTAGTATGATAATTTTATATGTATAACCATTAAGTAACTATATCTGAAACATACCTTCACTCTCGGGCGCCGTTTCCTTGTTGGCCGCCTGTTTGCTTGCTTGTGCCTTCATTATTTTATGTATTAAGTAATAATGGTGTAGTCCTGATCAGAATCTAATTCAACATTTCAATTCAAAATCAATCTCAGAAACCTGTTTCGCGTACACGACTACTGTTGTATCAAATTCAAAACATATATTCACATCCATATAAGCTATATCTTTGTAAAAATAAGTACATAACACTCATAACTATTCATTAATCATAAATAAACATAAGGAATCAAGATTCAATCCC